AATGCTGATCTGAAGTTTCATAAATAAAGTGTATTTTGGAATGTTAATCTGTCAGGTGGTACTATGGGCTGGAAAGGAAAGAGACAAGTGTGGACATGAGGTAGTGGCAGGGGACAGAGTGGACTAGGATGGTCAGAAGTGGTTCTGCTTTTTCTTTCTTTCTTTCTTTCTTTCTTTCTTTCTTTCTTTCTTTCTTCTTCTTTCTTTTTGTGTTTTTGAGTCAGGGTTTTACTATACAGTTCAGGCTGGCCTTGAACTCACTTTGTACCCCAGCTGGTCTTGAACTCTTGGGGATCCTCTTCCTCAGCCTCCCAAGTGCTGGGATTAAAGACGTGAGCCACCGTGTGTGGTTTATGGTTCCGGTATCTAGCATGGGAGACTAGAAGACATGTGGTAAGAGAAGAGTCAGAAGAGCAAGTTGCTTTTTAGAGACGATCAGATGATGGCACACATCATGCAGGGGGAAATGTTTAGCTGGCAGCTGGAAATACAGAACTTAACCTCAGGAGCAGGCTTAAGTCTGGGCTAGGGAAGCGGGAATGACCAGTAGGGGGGTGTTAGGGGAAAGCCCTGACAGCTAGGCATCCCTGCCAATAAAGAAAGGAGAAGCAGGAGGATTTGGAGAACACCCAGATTTGAAGAGTAGGTACAAGTAGCAAGAAAGGAAAAAAAAAAGGGGGGGGGATTACAAAGGTAGAAAGACACCCCAACAGTATGACTAGGCAAAGAGCTCTTTCACAAGCTAGGAATGGCTACAGCAGCTAATGTGAGTGAGGCTGAGTCTCAGAGAGAGAGAGAGAGAGAGAGAGAGAGAGAGAGAGAGAGAGACAGAGACAGAGACAGAGACAGAGACAGAGACAGAGACAGAGAGAGAGAGAGATCCTTAGCACTTGTTCCAAAAAATCCTGCTGATGTGTATGCACCTGCTCAGGCTCATGCTCATGAACACAAACATACAGACTCCTGCATATATACAGATAGCCCCTCCTTTATCTCATCTCACCCCACCACTGCGTCATACACACTCCAGTTTCTAGGTTCATTCTCTCTCTCTCTCTCTCTCTCTCTCTCTCTCTCTCTGTGTGTGTGTGTGTGTGTGTGTCTTTCTTTGTTTTTGTAGCAGGAATTGAACTAGAGAACTTGCAATTGCCAGGCAGGCACTGTGCCACGGAGCTATATCCCTGGTCCTATATTCATTTTCTGACTAGGAAGAAGTAGGTGCTAGTGTGCCACTGGCCTGTTAATGTTCCATTGTATGACTGGCGCTTCTCATCTCAGAAAAGGGAGTGTTGCCCATCATGGTGGAAAACAATACAGAACCCCAAGATTACCGTCTTTTCTTTAGCAACTCAGTTGAGAGGGAACTGAAAAGGAGGAAAGATAGTGGGGTTTTTTCCACTTACTCCAAACACTGCCACCTTGATTCTGGCCCTCAGAGTTTTCAGTGCACTGCAAGGTCCAGCTAATTTTAAGAGTGTTTCATTTTGGCTGCAGAAAATACAAAAGGACATTTTCTTTTCTGAATTTATGGTAAGGAAGAAAATAGAAGTCCTTGAAAGAAGAGCCAGATTTGAGTTTTCTGCTGAGAGTGCTGATGGCTTTAAGCCTGGTCCTCAAACTGATGCTGACTTGGGTGTGGCTTCCTCCCAGAGACCTGTCCAAAATCAGTGTCCTCACCCAGGATCAATGGATACAACTCCAGTCCCCCTACAAGTGATTGTTAGGGCCTATGTGGAGGTATAAGGCTTCAGAAGCTAAACTCCAGGTATATATAGTGGTATGTGTGTGTGTTTATTGTGTACAATTATTGTGTGTATATATATATGTGTGTGTGCAATTTTATGTGTATATAGTTTCAGCTAGCTGAAGGCCCCAAAATATAAGAGCTCCTTCCTCTGTTGCACTATTGCCACTTCTTCAGGGCACCTTACCAAAGCTGACCATGGAGCCCAATCATTTACACAGGGTTGCAGAGGAAAGAGTGCTTCTGTGGTCCTACATCTACTCATCCTCCCTCCAAGGGCTAAAATAGGATTACTGCAGTAGGGAAATGCTGGCCAAATGCTTCTCTACCACCTATACCCTCCACCTTTCCTCTAGGACTACATCTACCTCACCTCACCCTCATCTCCACTTCCAGTGCCTTGCCTAGCCTGTGACTGTCATCAGCAATTTCAGGGTTTTCTTCTTGCATATTGTTTTAACCTACTACTGCTTCCAAAGAGTGTCATTGGTGGCAACATCTCTCATTCTAGTCATGTAGTTCATTTCTCAAGACCCTTGCACTGCAGCACTTACCAGTACTTACTAGAATGGCAAGACCCTTGCCTGATTCAAAATAGGTCCCTAGCCTTCTCCTCTAAGGGAGTAGAAGCTCCATTGTGGTGCTCACTAGCACAGTATCAACAACATTGCTAGTTTGTTCTTATGGGATCACTTGCTGGTCAGGTTTAGAACCTGGCCACTGCAGAATGGCTGTGATCTGGATGGTCAGAGTTAGGAGCCCGGGGCATCCACCCCATACTCTGGCTGTTCTCTCCCTAGTGGCCTTAGCCTATACTTGTAGACAATTGTGGTGGTGGGTGTTGGTAAGAGAGAGGGGAGGATATTTCCACATGCAGCACTGAGTCTTTTTTTTCTTGCTTAGATCATGTCCCCTCCCTTCTCAGAATCCTGCAGTGACTCCTGATTGCCTCTCGACTCTATTTAAACCTCTCAAAGGGCCTCACAGTTCTCCATAATTACATCCCACCCTCCACATCCCCACTCCCACACAATCGTGCATAACTCAGGCCCAGACAGAAACCAGACAGGCGACACTATCCACAGATGCTCCTGGCTTGAGTCCTGCCACAGGTGCCTGAAAGCCTCATCAACAGAGCCACTCTTTAGCCTCGTTTAAAAATGGCAAATGTTACCTGTGAGGTATAAGCAGCAAACCTCTAATTAGTTATCAACACCTAGCCCCGCAGGGATTCTGCCATCGGATTTGACCAAGTAGGCAGCCAAGCCTAACCTAAATGATCTAAGGGGGTGGAGAAGAGGAGCTATGAGCTATGAATGGCCCAGGGGAGGGGTAGGAGCCAGTAAGGGGTTCTGACATGGAAGCTATCTCTGTCACAATATTACCAAAGGCTACAGTCTGCCAGAGCCTACTTAAAATCAGTCAAACCCACTAGACCTTGTCCCCCACCCAATCTGGCTTCCCCCTCCAAGCACAGGTACACATTGTCGTATTTCACCTTAGGAGTACCCTAAGGCCAAACTACTGAGGTTGAGGTATTTTTGCATGTGGTCCTGTCACACACACAAAAATAATCCATGAAATTTGGTAGACACAGCATGTTTGCTTGGGCATAGCCAAGTCTTGTTGAGGTCTCTTGAGGGGGAGGGGCTGAGTGCTCTTTGCTCTGTGGAAATAGCAAAAGCTTCCCAGGAAAGCTCTGATGGCTCCCAGGAAGCTGGGAACTGGGTTCCTCTTGCTTCTCTAGCAGTGAGTTTGACAGGCAGGGAAGAGGAGAGGCAAGGTCTTTCAGTGGAGGGCTCTGGTGGCATAATCGCCAGACTAGTCAGGGCCCTCTAGGCCTAGACATGCATGCTGTTTATCAGAGTCTCCAGCTTGGAAAACTCACTTGATACTTTGCTCTACGTCAGCATAGAGTCCCCCAAACCTCCATTCCCAAAAGGGTGTCCCCAAAGGAGCCTAGATCTAACAGCCTTGTCTCCAAGGAGCAGCAGAAGAGACAGCCACAACCTCCCTAAGAGCTGCAGGATGCTGAGACTACTCCAGTGGACTCCAGTGTTCTGCAGCTAGCCAAGATGCCAAGGGAGGCTCAAGTCTGGCAGAATCCAGTGTTCACTGTGATCAAGGGCTCTTCAGGGGCAGTGATGATATGGGTGGGAATACCACCTGCTTCTGGGGCAAGGTGTTAAGCATTTGTCTCTGCAGTGGCTTTAGTGTGTGTGTGTGTGTGTGTGTGTGTGTGTGTGTGTGTGTGTACAGCAAGCTTAGTTGCTCAGATGTAGAAGACTATGACTACATGAGCTGGATGTGCTTTTTGCCAGATAAACTTCCTAATGGCTCTGGTGGAGGTGTTCACCAGTAAGTAAGCTTAGGGGGTGCAGTGGCTGTGAGGGTGGGGGGAGAAGCAGGTACTGGATCTGCAGTAACATGCAATTGTCATGTAGTTCTCAGGGACACTCTGAGAAAACACATATACACTCTCTGAGCTCCAAAAGCACCAGACAGGGAAGAGTCTGTGAGTTGGTGTTTGTGTGTGTGTGTGTGTGTGTGTGTGTTTTAGCAGTACTGAAGGGAGTGCATGTATATATTTGAGTGACTGCTATATTAGCATTATTAGTGGGAGGAGACAAGTGTAGCTTTGTATGTGTGTTTTCTCTTTGGATGGGGGTGTCTGTAGTTGAGCGCTCGGGAAGGTGATGCTGCTGTGTGTGTGTGTGTGTGTGTGTGTGTGTGTGTGTGTGTGAGCGTGTGCGCGCGCACGCGCGTGTCAGTGCCCGCTTGTGAACATGGCCCCGGGAAACCATGCACATGCTTTAGACAGCTGTTTCTGGCAGCCCTGGGGCTTGGGCTTTGCCAGGCACCTCAGTGAAGTGGCCACCTCCCAGCAGCCAGGCCCCGCATCTCGACAGCTCTCCCAACTGTGTCCACAGCCCTAGCACACACACACACAAAGGATCCATAATGAATACCCTGCACTCTCCTGCACTCAGCTTCTCACCCTGCAACCCTAGTGGCCAAGGTGAGCCCGCCAAGCCAACGATTCACCCGGGCAGTAGGCAGTCAGCCTGATGCTCCCCTGCCTGCCCAAACTCCAGGCAGCCCGACGCTAGGCGCCCACCACCCAGTCCTCAGCTCCAGGGACTTACTAGCGCCAGGAGCTCCCGAGCTCGCCCTGGGCGGCCCGCCCCCGCTGCCATCCACCCCTGGTCGGGCTGAGACTGCGGGCGCGCCCCCCTGAAGGAAGAGCGCTTCTTACCTTCCTCCTCCTCTTCCTCCTCCTCTGCCTCAGCGGCGCGGCAGCGGCAGCGGCAGCGGCGGCGCACAGGCAGTGGCAACGGCGGCGGGACTAGGGCGCCCGTGTCCCCGAGCTCGACACGGGCGTGGGGCTCAGTGGCGCCGGGCGGCGGGGAGGGCAGAGATTGGCGGGGCGGCTGCAGCTGGCCCGGGACGTGGGGAGCTGGCGCGCAGGCAGCGGGCTGCGGGCAGGTTGGCAGCGGCGGGCGCGGGCTCCTCGGGCAGGTTCCATGGCTGCGCCGCGGGCGGCACCATCGCCGTGGCTCTTTCCTTGCTTTCTTGCTCCAGGAGTGCGGCAGGCTGCGAGGTGACGGATGGCGCCGAGGCTGCCGGACGGCCGAGTAGGGGAGGGGAGAGGGGGCGGGGGAGGGGAAGGGGAGGGAGGAAGAAAGAGGGGAGTGCAGAATGAGGGGCCTCTCCAGCGCCTTCCGACCCTCGAGTGCTGGCGTCGGTTTCCCCGAATCGGAAAGCTGCTTAAAGGCACAGCTTCTGGCTCGGGTCACAACTAAAAATAAACACAAAATTGACAATTGAGGAAAGACTCTCCCAAGACACGTCCCAGCAACCCAGCCACCTAGTCCGCCGTCACTGCCTCACTTCTTGAACCAGACCGTTCTAGCTGGGCTCTGCCGGGAACTGCTGTCAGCTAAGAGGGCAAGCCAATTTCCAAAGTGAACCCTGGAAAGGGTGTGGGGTGAGAAAGACTGCGGAAAAGGGGCAGCGGGAAAACGCTAGCTTCAGGGACTTCATTCCTTGGCCCCCGACCTTGCCTCTTGCCCCTGGTTTGCTCGCCTTCCGCTGGGGATGCCCTCCCTGCAGTACAGCTCTTGGTCGCCACCGCCAACATCCACAGGCACCTTGAGTTTCAGCTTAGGCTTCTGCTTGCAGCGCCAGCGCCTCAGCCCAGCACTGGAGCAAAAGCGGTTTGGAGCCCAGGGCCTGCCCAGGAGCCCACCTCAGTGAGCGCGCAGTCTGCCAGCTGGCAGAGGACTGCTTAGAGCATGCCTTTGGTTTGGTAAGGAGGGAAGGAGGCTAAGGTGTGTATGCGTGTGTGTTCACCAGCAGATGGAGGGAGGGTCCTGACCCCCACCCCCACCCCCATACTGAAGGAGAGCAGCTAAGCTCACAGCACAGTGCCTGATGATCTCAGGACATGTTTTAGAGACAGTCTGTGAATACTAAACATGTAGCTACTGTGACTCAAGAGAAGCTCTTGATCTCCTAGCGGACTCCAGACCCCTTCCCAGGACTTTTGAGGACCTAGAGGCCACTCTTCCTCCTCAGAAGAACACAATTTCGGTCTCCACTGGGACTGGGAAGCCAGACAGTGGTCTGAGAGGATAAATTTGAGCCCAGAGTAGCAAAAATCGGTGGAGCTAAAGACAGCCTCTGTAATGCCATGTACATGGTGAATGTCCAAGTGTTGGGAATGTACCTTACAGAGGCAGCTAACACTGGTCCATTTGAGCTTCTAGTGTGTTCTAATATGAAAGGGGAGCCTTCCTTAGTTCTGCTGTGTGCCTGGATTCTGGAAGGGAGGCTGTGGGCAAAGGGAGAGCCATTCCAGTTAGAATCTTTTCCTCACCTCCAGTTCTATTGAAGCACTTGAATAAAGCCTCAGAAGAGGCTTGAGTGCTGCTAAGGGGCAATTGCGGGGTAAGAGGATGTTCTCCTAAACTGTGCAGGATTTCCAGGATACAGAGGAGAGCTCCCAGCACAGGCTGTGGCTCCCCTAAAGCTGGGATCAGCAGTAGAGTAGCTTACGAGCAGATTTGGGCATCTGTCCACTAAGCACACATCTTGCTTCCTTCCTGGCACTTCCCTCTTTGAGAAAAAAAAAAAGGATGGAAATTCCCTGCATCTGGATACAAGTAGCCTAGTCTGGGAAAACCGTCTGATGGAATTATTAGAAGCAGATCACGAGTGAAATAAAGATTTGAAGGGAAAAACTACATAAGACTCCAGGCAAACAGGGCAAACACAAAGGCAGATTCAAAAGGGTGCTCTAAGGAACACAATACAATCTCAGAGACACAAACAGTCACTGTGGGCCCACAGACATGCTGAACTAGCCCCCTCTGCCTACACACACACAGTCTACCAAAAAGTGACTCAGACCTAGTTTCTTATCCTTCCAAAGGAAAGAGGTGAAGAGTTGGCCTCCCACCTCCAGAGACTGGAGAGAGAGAGCCGGGAAGCAGCTGTCCAGTATGCATAATAATATTGGCAGCCAGATAGTGCCTGGCTGCTTTCCTTGGGGTATCATCTCAGAAGATTGGGTCCCCTCTGGGCTTTCCTGATCCTTACCAGTTCAGTCTTTATCATTAGCATTGATTTGTGTTTGTTCTTACAATACAACTGATAGATTAATAGCTAAAGCAAGTACATTTTGTGACTCTGATTAGCCCTCCTCTCTTGCTTGCTAGAGGCTCCAGTTAGTCTTATGTGTGGTAAACAAAAGTACAGGATGGAGTTTTATGTATGAGGAAAGTGGTATTGGGACAGACTGGTTCACTGGAAAGATGCATTTGTGAGGAGTCCTGAGTGACTAGTGAGGCACTGTCTGGCTTAGGAATGATTAAATGTGCAACTATTCAGAGTCTGCTTATTAGTGTTGTGACCTTAGGTAGGTCACATAAACCTCTCCAAGCCCTATCTATGGAATGAAGATGGTGGCAGAACTTATCCCATGGAGTTATTGGGAGTGTTTGGTGTCTCAGTAAATGACACCTGTAGTTCTTTTTCAAGATCAATTTGACTCTTACCCATCTAATAAGCACCCATTTTATTCTTATTCTGTCTAATTCCAGATATAGAATTTCCATTGCTGTTGTTCTTGGTCAGAGTGAGATCTCAAGCCTGCTTGTGCACAGACTGCTTTCACTTACAAGGGGAAGACTCCCTGCAGAGAGAATCACATTTTAGGGCATCTTTGGTTTTGTTGTTTGACAAGCTGTGTCCACTCCATATGCCCAACTGCAAAGAATAAGGCAGGAAAGCAAGAGGCAGGGTGCAGAGAGGGTACTGTAAAGATCCTTAACCTTTGCCAAAACACAACAAAACAAATACTGGCATGTGATAAATACTGGACCCTTGATCCAGTCACACTAAAATTTGGTAAGGAGGGGCAAGAATTCCATCTCTTCAAATCACATGACAGTTGGATAGCAAATGAAGGTAATGCAGCTAGAAGTCCATTGATTATTGAAATACATACATTGAGATGAAGCTAATAAGTGGCATTAGCTTTTCCCTTGCACACTGAGAATGGATGAGGGCAGCCCAACTTCACTGGCATGTTGATCTGTAACCAGCACTTAACAACCAAGCAGCCAACTCACCATTAAATGAGAATCTAGGGATAGATGGACAGTCTGTTGGCTTCCAATAATAATAGTAATACTGGCTGCCTTTTATCGAACCGTCACTCTGCAAGGTAGGTACTCTATTAAGGTTCTTAAGAAAAAGAGATGGTTCTTCACTTTGAGGAGGAATACAGTTCCTTCCACTCTCCTAATATGATCCCCAGTCAGCCCAGAGAACTTTACATTCATAACACTCTATTATCACCAAAAACCTCTTTTGGTAACACATTAATCCTTAATTCTATAGCAGACAGCATCAAAACGCATGCAATAATAAAAGGCTAAACCTAAATTCTAGCCACATGATGACAAAGAATATAGTAGTAATAAGAATTGTTATTCTTTTATTGAGCACTGATGGGCCAGATACTACATTAACATTTAACATATATTATCACATTGAATCTTCACAGCAGACCCAAGAAGGTAGGTGCTACGATTATCTTTATTTTAAAGGAAACTGAACCCTCAGAGAGGCTACGGTTATACAGCTAATACGGTTTAATACAGGATTTGAATGATTTCCTATTTGATAAGAGTGATAATGTCTCCAAAAAGACAAACTTTTAAACCTTCAACTAACATTACTTAGCAGAGAGACACTGCTAGCCTTTTGCACAGAGACATCACTAAACTACCTGCCTGTGCTGGGCTATTCATCCACCCATCAGTACCCGGGAATAGTGTTGTGGGCTGAAAAATTACAATGCAAGTTTCCTCCCTGTTCTTTCTGATGATACCATCCTTCTTCTTATCATTGCATGGCCTGCCTAGGCAATCTAAAGTTTCTCTTTCTGCCTTAAATAGATACACTTTCGACTTCATACCTAGGCAAACACTGATGGTAATTGTCAGTGCTTCTTTGCTTTCAAATAAGCAAATAAATACAGTGAATCCCTACTCACAGAACAAAAAGAGAATCTGGAAGTAAAGGCCAAAGTAGCCAAAAGAATAAAACTTCTCTGAAGTCTGACATTTCATTTTGAAAACACGTGAATTTTCACACTCTACTATGTAGGATACTGGTGTTTGATTTACCATGAAAGTACTGCATGTCTCTAAATTCCTGGCATAAATTGGAGCTCCAAAAGATGCACGGTTTAGCTTATGGCTCTGTGTACATCATAGGAAGTAGAGACTTATTGAATAAAGGTATAGCCCTGGAACACTCTTACCTTTGTCTCACTATGTTTATTCACTATCTCTTTTGGAGACAACGGTGAACAGAAAGAATGATCAGAACAGTTGGGAGTGTTGCTGGGGTTGGGCTTGGCAGGAGAGTCAGTCTTCTTGTCAGATTCCATTTCTCCCACAGGATTAAAAGCAGAAGTAACCACAGCCTTAGGTCCCCGAGGGTATGGGCGATCACACACTTGGTGTGTTGCCAGCCTTCCCCTTACTCCAATTCACCTGCCCTCCAACTGCGTGAACCAGAAATTCTCCTTTAGGTTAAGGCCCAGTCTCCACAAGGTCCTGGTAAATTGCACATGTTATCTGGAATAGACAGTACATTAAGTCATTAGTGCCCATTAATGCACTAGCCTGAATAAATCTATCAGATTGCCTCTCAGAGGGCAGAGCTGTGAGGGAATGAGACACTGACCAAGAACATTTTCCTGGGGATGGAGGAGTAGGTGGAGGAATTCTAGTGTGGCATTTCTCCAGCTATGGGCCTTAATCTAGCTGCATCAGAATCTCCTGGGTAACAATGGAAAGGCTAATTCCTGGGTCCTACACTAGAGCTTAGGCCTTTATTGAATAAGTGTCCTAGATCTGGGAAGCACCCGCATAAAAGCACAGCCAAAGCCCACCTGAGGAGAACAACAGTGCTGTGGAGGACAAGGGAACCAGGACTAAGAGGATCTTGTGGGGACAATGCCCACTACCCCTGGCTCCTTTTTTTTGTTTCCTTTTCTTTCTCCTTTTTTTTTGGTCTTCATAGAGAGAGCATTAAGTTGCTATTTCCTCTTTACCCACCTCTCTCAAGCAGAGGGAGCCCCATAGAAAAGCCAGTGGCTCAGGAAGGCCTTGAAGTAGAAGCTAAATTGATAGACTCTAGGGAATTTCCCATTACTTTCTTGTATGACTACCTTCTCTCCCCCTCTACTGGCATCTTAGTCTTGTTTGCCCTCCTGGAGTTAGGAAATAAAACATCAGTTTAAATCAATGCTGATGGAGCCTGTCAGATGCC